CCTACCAAGTCTGCGGAAAGACCTAAGGCAGGTCGTGGTGTGTTGTTATGGCCACATTTCATGTTAATTTTTTTTTTTTTTTTTTTTTTATCTCCGATGAAGTTGCTAGCGTTACATAGACAAAGTTCTCCTTAGTGTGTGTGCTGTACTTAATAAGACAATTTTCTGTATGTCTCTTAAGCTGGGGTTTCCAGGGATTCTTTCAATGTGTTGTTTTGTTCCATTTTTTATAATTCCAAGTGCACCTATTACCACTGGTATTATTCTTGTTTTCAATTTCCACATTTTTTCTATTTCAATTTCCAGGTCTTTGTATTTTGATAGTTTTTCAAATTCCTTGGTTGCTATGTTACAATCCGCTGGACAAGCCATATCAATTAGTAGGCAAGTTTTTTCTTTCTGGTTTTTGACAATAATGTCCGGCCTATTTGCTTTTATTATTATTATTATTATTATTATTATTATTATTATTATTATTATTTGTTTCAGAAATATAAGGGTATTTTTTTCTTTTCTTTTATTTTCATCATCTGCTTACTGATTAAAAACAAACCGCAGTTTTGAGCGGTTACATGCATTTCTTATGCAACTGAATTGCAACGACTTCAGCACTGTGCAAATGTCTACACCCACTTACACGTATATATATATACACGGGTTGGGCCGGCGTATGGGATTGTGGAGAGCCTCTTAGGCTTTGAAATTTCGCAACATGTCTGAAATTCTTGAAACTGACGCACCATTCAAGAAATGACATTTTGCATCGCTCTGTAAACAGACTTATCGGTAGTTGATGAATATTGCCTGAAGTTGATAGATTAAATATAACCCTTTCTTCATTATTTCCCAAATTATTCCAGAGTTTCATCCTAAAACCATTCAACCATTCCCAGGCCTTCATCCTAAAACGGGTATTTTAATTGTCTTCTTCAACGCAGAATGTTCTTCGGGTTAACACACACACACACACACACACACACACACACACACACACACACACACACACACACACACACACACACGCATACACATACATACATACATACGTAGTAAATTGTATGGATATTAGTTATCCTGGGTTTCACGCATTTGCGATCATCAACAAGGTCTCAAATTAATATCCATACAACTGAATATATTAGCTCTATCACTGATATTGAGCACTTTCCACTACTGCACACACACATATAGAGATAGATATTGCATTTCCCTTCGATTTATATATTATATTCCAATTATATATATATATATATATATATATATATACAAGAATAATCACACATAGTTAATCAGAAGTATTAATGCGATTTTCGGTTATCCATCATAGAAAACATAATATATCGTCCATTCATCCATATTGATTTTATCCTTGAAAAAAACATGTTTCTGATGTTTATTTGATGTTAAAATGCTATATGAAAGTTCTATCCATAAGTACTAGCATTTTAACATCAAATAAACATGAAAAAACACAGACAACAAGTTTTTCTTCAAGGATCAAAACTCTCACTATGGATGAACAGGATTTTAATGCATATATTATGTTTTCTAGCGATGGATGTCGCCAATAATCGCATTAATACTTGATTAATTCTATGTGTGATTATTCTTTTTTGTATGTAAATATATGCTGCCTAATGTTTTATATATATATATATATATATATATATATATATATATATATATATATATATATATATATATATATATATATATAGGATCATTGTAACTCCCTATTTTAAAATAATTTATTTATTAACTATAATTTTTACAAGAAATAAACATGCGACAAAAAGCGTTTAGCCTAAGGTTTTATTTAAAATTCGATATGGGCGCCAGATTTCGCTACCAGCTTCTGGAATTGTCCAAGAATCGCAGCATCCACCAATTTCACTAGGGACTCTTGCTTTCTTATAATAGATTTGCTCCATTAACCAAACCCAACGAAAAATGCCACACGGTGTTAAACAGGCTGGCCACACGTACATAAAATAGGGAGTTACTTTTCAATTACCATATATATATATATATATATATATATATATATAGATGTGTGTGTGTGTGTGTGTAGTATTAAATTATAAGGGTGTTAAGAGCCAAAAATTGTTAGGCAAACCAGTTTTAGTCTTAAAGTTCTCGATATTACGAGGTGAGGGTAGAGCGTTAATAGAATTAATGTGGAACTACTGGGTGGTGTTATTTCAGTCATGCCGACTTCGAAGTTTCGTGAGCGCCTTGTTGTAATGCCTTCACTATTCAGGGTATATATATATATATTGTGATAGTTTTATTCGTAGTAGTAATGCCAGTATTCGTCGTTTCCTTATCAGGATTTGATTGATTCGTTTTCTACGGTTTATTGCAGGTTTTTTAAAGCAAGAAAATATTTTAGATTGTAATAATTTCGAAAGGGATAATAATGGTTTAGTGATAAAACTCTTACTAATTAACAGGTAACTGGACGGGTGAATAAGTGGATTCTTACCTTTCCTAAGGCTATTTGATCATAAATAAATATAACGAATAGAACTAACATTTGAACTCGGCTCTCCGATTAACAATTCCGAATCAATGTCTATTACACCTCCCGCACATCCGAGATTACAGCACCTGGTATTCCCAAACGGCTCCCTTATAAGGAAATATTCAATATTCATAGATCGAGCAGCTTGTACGCCTTCCGGTTGAAATTTATAAAATCTTTCTCTTAAAACTATTTTTCAGGAAACTATGTTCCTCAAATCAAGTAGGAGTTGTCGTTCTTTCTAATACTGACTGGAGTTTCCTTCCTAACCTTTTATTTAAAGTACTGTGGAACGTCATTATATTGGTTATATTATTATTTTATCTACGGGTTATATGTGGTATCCATTTTAGCTGTTACTGATGTTGAAAGGTATGCTATATTTATGGGTAAATATTCTCAAGAGACAGCGATAGAGCGTGTATAAATAAATATAAACTCCACACTAAATGGCGACAGTCTGTTTCATGCTGGAAAGCAATCATGATAGCGCAAAGATTGAATAGGTAAATTCGTAGGTAAATTAAGTGACGTCATTTTTAAATTGTCATTTACAAAACCTTTATGTCAAATCTCGCTGAAAACACTGACTCTCGTTCGGTTATTGGAGTTAAGCAATGTCAATCCTGGTTAGTATTTAGTTAGAGAAACGCTTGGGAAAACTGCGTACTATTAACAACCTTCTGCAATTCGAAACGTGCCGGTTTTAAATAACCCACAAAGGGTTGTTAATCCGTAAAAAACAAACGTCTTTAGGATGTATGGTTTGTTTTGTTTTGTTTTGTTTTGTTTTACGGCATATCAATCTCAATGGGTTATTTAATGCCGACAAAGTTTTTATTGCTGGTAATGTTTTTTTTTTTCCAAAATTAGATTTCTGGGAATATTTTTCCTTGAAGAAATCTATAGCTGGTCATATTTTTTTCAAAGAATGTATAGCTGTTTGTATTGCTGGTATTTTTTAAAAGTATTGCTGATAATAATTTTTCCTTCAAAAATGATTTCTGGTAATAATTTTTTTATTACAAAGTATTTCTGGTATTAAAACCTATTTTTACACAAGCTTGGGTGTTAACTATTTGCCCATAGCTGGGACTCTAACAGGTTCTACCACCCCGGGTCAGGGTGGACCTGGTAATACCAGCAATTAAGAGGTGGTTCTACGTTCCTCAAAACCTCCTTGCTCTTGGACGTAGTTTATCGTCTTACCCAGGACGCGGATGTAGTTTATCGTCACACCCAGGACGATAGGAGGTATGGGGCTGGCTAAGGAAAAAATTGGAAAACGATTACAAATTTGGCATACTTTATATCAGCTTCATCTCGTCATTTTTTTTATTTTAATAGTGTAAATTTATCCCCTGGTCGAAACGACAAATTGTCTGATTGAAGAAAGTCTAACCCTCGGTTGGGTTCGAAACTGTGTTCTCTTTATCCTGGGAAACGACGTGGTTCAACTGTTTGGCCAAGGGATTCACCACAGAATCGAAACAGAAAGACAAAATCTTATTAATATGTACGTACCTTTGTGTGTGTGTATTAAGAGGTCTCTTGTAATGTGGTTCTTTAGGAACATGACCTCACAGGTTTTTGTCAATATTCAATGAGTCAGTATGCAATGTACACGTCATAGAAGTTGCACTTAGGACATATCTAATACATCTTCTGTTTGTAAGAAGGATACGATGGATAAGGAGAAAACTATGTTTTTTGCATGCAAGTAATAAAATAGGATTTTACTAAAATCACGGGAAATCGAAAAGGTATAACATGAGCAAAGCATTTATAACCAAATTTATAAACATTTTCTCATTTGTTTAATATTTAATCATTCTGACAGAGTTAACCCATATTTTTTTTAAATTCATATATATATATATATATATATATATATATATACATATATATATATAGAGTGGACACTGAAGTCAAAACCGAGTTGTGATAGTATGTTTCTAAGCCATATATATATATATATATATGTGTGTGTGTGTGTGTGTGTGTGTGTGTGTGTGTGTGTGTGTGTAGCTTGAAGATTATATATATATTGAGACATGTTTCATTGAAAAATTTAAGTTTCAGATGATTCAGCAATTTTGTCTTTGAAAATGATGAAACTACAATATTTGTCTTGAAATAAACAACACCATGAGGATGACATTGTGCCATGTCGAAAGTACTGAGAATAAAATATTATGTATCAACACGGTAATTTTCTATCTTTAATAATGACACCAAAAAGCTTGTCCGTGAATATGAAAGGATCCAATTGAAAATAAGTAGACAATACTTCTCTAAATTATTAAATGAAACATGTCTCAATGAAAACATGATATGTATATATATATATATATATATATATATATATATATGTGTGTGTGTGTGTGTGTGTGTGTGTTGTGCGCGCGA